AAAACAAGACTATGTTAAGAGTCTTAACAACATTTATAAAATGCTTAAAAACATATTTACAAGGATTAAGCATCAGGGTCTCATACATTTGAGTGTCACTGTCAATCTACCATAGAGACAGTGTGAGAATCTGCATTTCTAGCAGGTTTCCAGGTAATTTTGGATTAGTGGGCAACAGAGTGACATCCCGTATACTTGACTCAGACATTTACATGTCTGTGGAAACCCTCTTTTAAGCCCTAGATGTGTCTGACCACTTCTAGCATTATGTTTTCTTTTTGCCAGGAAATTTCCCTCTTTTTTTCAAATATCACAAAATATGTCGTTTTCTGTAGCTTTTGTCTCATCTAATACTTTGAGATTTATGTCTCATATGTTGTATCTCTACTACATAACCCTCCACATAACATGTGTTCAATAAATTCTTAGGGCTTGGAATTGAAAGGGCAAAAGAACAAAAGGAAATTCTTAATTCTCTTTAGAAAGAATTCAATGTGAAAACGATCACCAAGTGTGCAATGTTAGCTTGCATTCTGCTATCCCATTATTCTTTCAACATTGTTCAGGAATTAACAGCACTTCACTATTTCATTTTCATTGATTGAGATCATAGAAAAATCACCAAGGAGCTCCAAATGCTGGGTTTTGTGGATGATTATTATTCTAACTACAATAGCTCTTCTCATATTTCTCTTATAAGAAGCTCCAGATCCAGGCAAAATTGTGAAGAAGGCCCAGTGTGCAGCATAAAGTGCTGTTTGCCATGCTTCCCTCTCCACCAGGAACTTTTATTTCCTTTCTCAAGTCAGTCTCTTGTTCAATGCTCCTTGCTGAGCCATGAAACTCCTTGAATGCAGAGGTAAGCCTTATTCATGTCTGTAACCCTAGGGTGCTTGGCACAGTGCCTGGCACACAAGAGGCACCTGGTATAGGCAGTTTTTATTCTTCTAAAGAACTGAAAGGAATTCATACGAAATTAAGCTCTCCCACCTTTGTAGCTGGCATTCCTAGTGTCTCCAGTACTGAATCTCATTCCCAGCATGCTGGGGCAGGCTAGAGAACAGGAGGCCTCCAGGGAAGAGTTGTCTTCTTTTGCCCCTTTACCCCTTGAAATTTTTGTCTCCCACCTTAAATTCAGCCCAGGTAAGCCATCCCACAATTTATATTTAATGACTAATGTTCTTTCTATCTTCTGAAAACATCTTGTTCTTTCTTTTCTACCTCTCAAAGCATCCTCTAACTACAAAAATGTGACTCTTCCTTTATTCACTGAAGATGCCCATCTCCATAAAGCCACAATCCTGACAAACCTCAGGAGACTGCACATAACTCATTTAAATTCTTAAGACACAATGATTAGTACAAGCTGTTAACATTAAGACACTGTTGATTTAAAAATGCATCCACCATTGGATACACCCTTTTTACAAGGGAAAAAGAAAATTAAGAATAAAAGAGGAGAAAATCCATTTTGCTATCATTATAAGCATGATAATTAATATTTCTAGAGTGCTAACCATTGTGAAGTTCAGCATTTTACTTGTATTAGTCCATTTAATCTTCTCTAATCTATTATGCAATATAAAAACAAAGCAAAACAACAACTACAGCAAAAAACAAAACAAAAATCCTTCTATCTCCAATGCCCTCAAGCATAAACATATATACAGAAAACCTCACATGAAAGTATTTTGTGGAACGAAGGTGTGAATTGGGGTAGCTCAGCTGGCTCCATGTAACTTTAAACATTGAACTTTATGTTTAATCAAACTAAAAGATTCTCACAGGAATTGTATACTTTGATAAATGTTCTGGAAAAATACTTATAAAAGCACAGCTAAGATAAAAAAAATCAAACTTCTCCAGCACCATACAAATCCTCCAATCTTCCCTTAGTCATTAATCCTCTGTCATCCAAAGCAATACCAAGGATTTGCAAACTAGTAAACTTATTAGCATAAATCATTGTAAGAGCATAGATATTCTTTTGTGTCTGGATTTTGTTGCCAGTACTATTACACACACACATTTCTGTGGCACACATACTTAGTGATGAAATCGATGTGTCAGGTGTCTGCACATCCAACAAGAGTAGATACTGCTTGACAGATTACCACAGTGGTCATGCTAATTGTCTTAGTTAGGGTTTCTGTTGCTGCGATGAGACACCATTACCACTGCAATTCTTATAAAGGAAAACACATTTAATTGGGGCTAACTTAAAAGTTTCAGAGGTTCAGTTCATTATCATGATGGCAGGACATGGTGGCATGCAAGCAGACATGGTGTTGGAGAAGGAGCTGAGAGTTCGACATTTTGATCTGCAGGCAGCAGAGAGAGTCTGTGTACTGCAGTAGGCACAGCTTAAGCATAGGAGACCTCAAAGTCTGTTTCCACTTCCTTCAAGGAAGTGTGTTAATACTTCCTCCAACAAGGCCACGCCTATTCCACACCTCCTAATAGGGCCACTCCCTGTGGGGGTCATTTTCTTTCAAACCACCATATTTATTTATTTTCTTTAAGTTGCTTCTTATGATGGCCATATTTTTGTTAATATTTGCTGCATTAAATTTAGCTACCACAATGGGTCACAATTGTTCTGACTCTGATTGTGAGAGGTCCTATACTTTCCCCCAAATTTATCACATGTTTGAGATTCCAGTCCAAACTTGCAGTGAACCTTCAAGTCATTCCTGCAATCTTGCTGTAATGTAATCTTCTGCCTCCCTTTGCCACGGTCTTCATTCTAATCTTTTTGCTGTGATTCCATGTCAGTGATATTGGCTGTCTGTAATTATGATCTATTATTTATTAATTTCTAACATAACCTGACTGGAACTTATTAATTCTTTAAATGCTCATGATATGCTTGCCTGGGAAATGCCATGTCAAACAAGGTTTATTAATGTACTTTGTAAAATTCCACCAACTTAGTACAAATCACTTCACATGGAAGACTATTATCTTTATCCTCCCTTGCTGAGAAGAAGCCAAAATATGGCTTCATTGCTTTCTGGTAAGAACACAATCTAGGCTTTAAGGATTTTTTGTCTGCTTGATTAATGTATATAAATAAAATGAAAATTATAGCAGAGCTACATGGGATGATGATATAAAGATAAAATACAATTTCATCAGTAAAGAATTCAGTACATAGGGTAACATCAGTGGGTATGAGCTATTTTTCTTAGACTTGATGAGGAAGGTTGAGTATCTTCATTTTGCAGACAAAGAAATGGAAACATAGAAAGTTAGACTTGGCTACATCATGTTAATCGCACATGGGGGAAACGGCATCCTCACCCAGCTCTTGCAACTCCACAGAAAGTGATCATTAGTTCATCTGACACCCAAGTCTTCACTAAAATCCCAAATAGCATATAGCTCTGTGGAAAGCTAGCAGAGTGCCTTTCAAGGGATTTTAGCTGATGTCATTAGAGTTCCTTGAGAGTGCTTCTGCTAGAAGTACCTTGTTCCACCTTTGCAATATGCAATGCCCAGAGACTTTAACAAGATTTCTTTAAGTTTCATCTGCTTCAATTCTACATAAAAACATGAAAATGATGGAAACATTGATCAGTTTGCAGAGACAACAATGTTTGTTCTTTAGTGTTTAGTGATTTACCACTGCATTTATAAATGCTATTCAATTTCTGCCCAAATATATGAGTGCATATGCCTCTGGAGTCCATTGAGGATGTTGGATCCATTAAGTTTGTAGTGCCAGGTAGCTAGTTAGTTGTGAAACATTTAATGTGGGTGTTTGGAACTGAACTTTGGTCCTCTAGAAGATCAGTAAACATTCTTTAGAGCTGAGTCATCTCTTTGGCACCAATATTATATTATTTTTTAAAGACAACTGCTGTGAAAAATATTAATAGCCTACAAAAGCATGTTCGTCTCATCCTTCCATGTGAAATGTAGCAGATGCAGGTAGCTGCTGCTCAGAGAATTCTCAGAAGACAATGTATACATGTTGACAACATTTCCATTCATAATGAACCTGTGACAATTGTTGAGTGGTAGGATAATAGTCACAGGTTTTATCATCAGGGCCAGGTTTTAATATTAGTTCTCACATTAGTAAGTGGTGTGCAAGCTGCTTTCATAACTAATCCTAGAATTCATTTATGGTGACATCACAAATTCTAGAAGGTATTCTTCAATGAAATTAGAGACAGAGAAATAACTCTCCAGTAGAAAAATCCAGACTTGTACTAGGATCAGATCTAAGACCGCTGACTTAATGAAATCAATAAACATTTAGTAGATGTCCAATATGTACTAGGAACTGAGGATTATAGAGCTAAGTAAGTTATTTTCTTTGACCTTGAAAAGTACACCACATAATATATAATATATAAGCCACTAATTAGAGGAAAGTATAATAAGTCCACAAGGAAGTTGGTTGTGAGGGTCAAGACATGAAAGGAAAGATGCTGTCACATTCATTTCATGAGTAAGGATCAAGGGGACCTGACACTTCGAGAGCTCAGATCTCGTGGATTTTTTAAAAGCCATTCTCACAATAGAAAACAGCCCATCCTTCAAACTTCCATGGCTCTCCAACATAGAGCTAATAAATGATGGTTATATGATAAGCTCATCCATAATAAATCTCACAGTGAGTGAGGTACTATGTCAGCCTCTGATAGTTGTTATATGACATATATATATGTATATCAATATATATATGTATATCAATATATATGTTATATATGTAACATATATGTGTGTGTGTGTGTGTGTGTGTGTGTGTGTGTGTGTGTATTCACAGGTGAACATGACGGTAGAATATAAGACAGCACAGCCCAACAACAGAAGGTATTTCTAGGCCTTAAGAGCACATGAATTTTTTGACAACATTCTTTACATATACCAGGCTTCTATCAATATTACTGAACTCTTTCCTTCACAAGAATGCCTATGATGCTGAAGCAGAAGGACATCGACAACTCCAAGATGTCCTCTACACAGGGTCTTAAAGATGACTTCCCTACCTGACATCTGCAGGGTCTTCTGTGACAAGCACATCAGTCTTGCAGGAGGCCAGGGGGTTGATAGACAGCTCCACCGGTGGAACCACAAAGCTTTTGCTGACCGGAAGCCAGAGGCCTTGGCCCAAGCTGAAAGTAGACCTGCAATGTAAGAGTTTCCATTGGGGAACTCCCCGGGAAGCAATGAGCAAAAAGAAAAAGGGGGCCCTCTTCCCCTCCCTTATAGGGCATTTTCTCATTTTTCCACCCACCTTAATACTGTGTATTCCCCAAACACAGTGCTAACCAGATTCACTCATACTGAGATGCTTGTCTCTTGTTTATTCATTTGGCCCTTGCTTTGCTTTGTGCTGCTTGTTATCTTTGCATGAGTAATGAGTGGACACTGTGGAGAGAGGGACTATTGTAGCTCTGCTTTCCTGCAGTCCCGATGCCCAGCAGGAGTTCCATAAAAAGTCAGAAGGAGCAGTCTGGCACAGAAGGTAAGAGCACAGACTCTAAATCAATTCACATCAACATCTTATTCCCTGCTCTACCGCTTACTCGCTGTGTGCCTTTGTCCGCTTAAATATTGAACTTTTACACACAATTTCATAGAGGTAGCAGAGGTAAGAGGAAGAGACTCTGATGTTACATAATAATTTTTTGAGCAGGTAGTCTGAATAATCAGTAATGCCCCTTCTGTTTCAAGTACCTGAGTCTACAAGTCTAGAAGCCAGACAAACAGGAACCAATATTCCCATAGCAACGCAGGCTATGATGCAATATCAATGCCAATGAGAGTTCTTTTATACTCAGTGAGACTCAGGATCAACACTCTAAGAGTGCATAAACACACATTCTGTCTAACCTCTCTCCTTCCCCTAGCATCAAACCCCAATAAGACTGTCAACTCACCTGAGAATCTTTTCAGGGGCTTGCTCTCCTGTCACCAGATCATACCCCCTCTCCAGTGTTGTATAAGGCCAAGGTCTGAGGAAATGGAGGAAATGGAAGACAGGAAGACAAGACATATTATTAGTCTGAAGCAAGCAGGAATCATGCTGTTCAACAGAAGCTATAGAAGCAGTCACATTCTGTAGAAGTAACGCTGGACATGACTTTCTACATTTTAAAGGAATTTTTTCATGTCATGGGACTCAACACTTTTTTTTTAAGCTAACTTGTCCATTTCTGAGTTCACATTGAATACAATGCAATATCCTCCTCAGCATACTTTATTGATTGTTTCCTGTTTGGGTGAATGAGTAAAGTGTCAGTGCTTGTTCTGTAGAAGCTTCATCAATCATGTCCCTATAGTACTGAAGTGTGAGTCAGCAGGAAAATAGTTTTTGCTTTTCAGTGTGTGTATGTGTGTAGTGTATGTGTGTACAGTATGCATATATATGTATATATATATATATATATATATA